GTCTTACAGAAGCCAAGGGATTTGTTCAAGGTCACACAGATGATTGTAGCAGATCATAGCTAGGCACAAGGGGTATGTGTAGGCACAGGGAACTCAGCAGAGCCTTCTGCAAACCAGATGAAACAGTGGACATATTTGCTAAATAAGGGCCAAACCAAGAAGGCATCTCCCCCACTCCCTCTTCTTTCAGGTACCTCACAAAGTGGTTGGGAGGATCAAATGATGTATGTAGTATGTTTTACCAACCTTAAAGTTTTCTGTAAGAAATATTATTAAAATTAATTGTCATCATCACTGAGCCTGGTCAATAGGCCAGTCATAGAATTGCCTAATCATAGTGAGCTCACACCTTCATCTTGTCTAGAGGGACCCCAGGAGGAACTTGGTCAAGCCTGGCTAAAATCCAGATGACCAGTATCGACAACCTCAAAAATATAATATGGGATTAGTCCAGCATGGCCAATTTTTTTTTTTTAATTGTGAGGCAGTTGGGGTTAAGTGACTTGCCCAGGGTCACACAGCTAGTAAGTGTCAAGTGTCTGAGACCAAATTTGAACTCAAGTCCTCCTGACTCCACAGCCAGAGCACCACGGCCTATTCTTACAGAATCTTTGTGGCCCATTGAGATCTCCATGTGTATCTAGACATAAAGGAGGTGAGACATATATGCACTCATGCAAGTCACTCGAATACCAAACAGACCACAGGAAGCACTTAACCTGGGCTCAAACAGGCTTTGGTGTGGCTGTATAGAGCCCTGGACTTGGGGTCAGCAGATGCAGGTTCAAATCCTAATCCAGGCCTATCCAGGCCTTTCTAGGCTCTGTGACCCTGAGAAAGTCACTTTCAGTTTTCTCACCTCTAAAATAAGGAGTTTAGGTTCTGAGGCCCAGAACAGTTATTTGACTTGATCAGATAATAAAACAAAGTGAGTTTGAGCACCTGGGGAGAGGTACCCAGGGAGAGAGCAGGAAGAGCACTGGGTCTGAGGGCCCAGGTTCAGATCCTGACCACGGTTTCCCATCTGTGTAACCTAGAGTAAGTCCCCATCCTTCTCCAGACTTAGGGGAGTCAGGCTGGAATGAGGCTAGATCACTGGTCCCGTTGCACAAGTTTTAAAAAGTAATGGGACACGGAACATCGGTCAGTTTGGGGTTTTTACTTCCTTTTTTATTCAATTCGGCAGTTATAATTAAGCTCCTACTGTATGCAAGGCAATCACTAGGAACTTATATCACAGAAGTAGAAGGAATCTTGAAAGTCTATAGAGAAGGTCCACCAAAGTTGGCACCCAGATACTTGCTAATCTGTGTTAGCAGATAAATAATGACTAAACCACCTCCAGAAGGGACCATTTCATGAGTAACCCCTCCCTGGGTTCGACAGCAGTGAGTGTTAGATGCCTCAATCTCTGTGGGCCACTAGATGAAGCACTGAACTTGGAGTAGGGAGGGTCTGAGTTCAAGACCTGCCTCAGGTACTTACTAGCTGCAGAACTCTGGGCAAGTCACAGCCTCAGTTTACTCATCTATAAAATGGGGAATAATAGAGTTTTGGTATCAAATGAGATAGTATATATAAAGCACGCTGCCACCTTAAAGGGACATATTCATTACTGTTAGGTACTGATAATAATGTATAGGCTAACTAATTCCCAAGATATAATTTCCCAAACCTTTACAATTTTTTCAGAACTTCTCTGTTTGCCCAATTTTTTTAAGTTTAATTTGCACCTTTCACTGAGAAGAAAAGATTTTTAAAGGGAGAAAAATGCATAGGACATTGTCTTAGTTGGGGTATTATAAAAACACAAAAACAGATTTCACAGTATCCTACACTAATTTACTGTAGTAAGGACAACAAAGTTTTCTCTTCGGAGGGATGATTTGAACTACTGCTCTCAGTTCTGGCTGGGGCTGTTAGATCTTTCTTTACAAATGAAGTAACGTGAGTTTAGAGGTATGGAGGTAAGAGAGTGGGGCGGACTGGGTGTCTGGACTCCTAGGTTCAAAACCCAATTTTTCCATTATCTTTCTGACCACAGGCGACTCACTTTCTGGGCCTCAGTTTCCCTGTCTGCAAAAAGAGGGGGTTGGACCCGGTAGATTTCTAACACCCCTCTCAGCTCTGTGCACCATGTTCCTGTTGTCCAGTTGATTTCCAAGGGCCTCCTAGTTCTATCGTCTCTGGTTTTGTGATTCTTATTCTGCCCCTATCAGATTCTACATCCTTGCTTCTTATAGCTAACCCTCCTTCATGTGCCTGTACAAGAGCATGTTTTCAGTGCTGCCTACAGTCATGGAACCAGAGACTCCAGCTCCCTAACATTATGGAAATGTTCCATGCTGCTCATAGAGTAGGGAAATCTTCCCAATGCTCAATCAATGGCTTCCCAGAACCACTTGGTATGCTACAAATATTTGGTTGGTGTCTTCGTATTTTTTCCCCTAGAGTATTAAATGCATTTCATAGTCCATCTTATTTCTTAAATTTTGGCAGTGCATGTGTATGGTGTGTGGAGTGGTGTGGACCTCTCAGAATACAAGTTCGGTTTAGTTGCTAACCTCTATGACACATTCTTTAGGGAGAGGAAGCAAAAAACATTCCGGTTGAGTCTGTTACAGAAGAACAGTTTACTGATGAAGAAGGCGCCATCATCACGAGAAAAGTAATGACTGCTGGGGTTTTGTACTGCTCTTGCTACTCAGACTTTCTGCATTCCAAAAAAAAGCTTGACTTTTTTTCTGCTGTTTTATCTTTATCAATGGGAGAAAAATCTTTTCCCTTATTGATCCCCACAGATCACGCGGAAAGTAGTGAGACGTATCACTTTACCACAAGAGTCGATATTTGGTGAAATGGTAATAGCGGGTGCTCGCAAAACGGGGGGAAAGGCAGCGGACTAACTCAAGGCTGTGTGAACGACCTCACCCGTGTGGCTGAAAGACTGGGCTTTCCCAGTGTGGTGGAATGAAATTGTCTCACCTTTGAAGGGAAGCAAGAATGGGCTTTTCTGCTTAAAGTTCTTCCAGAATTCCATCTCTGTTCAGCTGAAGACAGAGAGATGGGATTCTCTTTAAACAAACAAACAAACAAACAAACAAAGGAGCTTAATTAACCTGCTTTGGCTGTTCCTGTGTGTGCTTAGCACAGAGGAGGCACTTTATAAATGTTGATGGGTTGACTGCTTGCACAGCCGTTGAGTGTAATAGTTTCTTCCCTACCAGCTTTCCTGGGTATAGACATAAAAGGAAATTTGGGGTTTTGTAAGATGGAAGCATAAGAAAGTAGGACTTCCGTGATAAGTAAATTCTATGCTGTATTCACCGTGTGATTCCCTCAGAATGTCCAGGGACAGAATAGCAAATCTAACATGGAACATCAACCCAACAGAGGAGCTTCACAAGATGGATTTCTGGAAACCCTATCTTTAGTTTACCTACTATTTGAACTTGACTTCTATGTGTGGCACAGGAGAATGAAACCCCATCTCTCACTTAAAATTGTCTCTGGCTTCCTTTTCTCATAGTGCTCCCTCTTCCTTAGCTCTCTATAAACTCTATTTCATTGGTGTTGGGAAATCCCAAGGAGGAAAGTCCTTATACTGGGACAGGTCGAAACTTCTTCAGTGTATGGTCTTAGAGCAGATGTTCTCGACCTTGGGTCTATGAACTTGTTTGTTTGTTTTTTAATATATTTAGATAACTGTGTTTCAATAGACTTGACTTTCTTTGTAATCCCTTGTGTCTTATTTTATGCATTTAAAAATATTGCTCTGAGAAGAGGGTCCCTAGGTTTCTCCAGACAGCTGCAAGTGTTCGTGATACAAGCTAGGTTAAGAACGCCTGTCTTAGAGAGCTGCCTGGGTTACTAAGATTTTAAAGATCTTGCTCAGGGTCACTCATCCAGGATATGCCAGAGGCTGGGTCTCCCTGATTCCAGAGCCAGCTCTTTATCCTCTCTACCCACTGCCTCTCCATGAGCCACTGTCCCTATACCAGTGAAATGATAATACCCATGGAGGTGATGGGGTGGCTATAGTGACTTATGGTAGCAATGAATAGAACATGTATCATTAAAAAGTAGGGGGAAAAGGAACCACCCTGTGTTTTCCCTTGTAATAGTGTAAAAAGTGAATGTCTATAGTTCATAAATTTATTTCTGAGACATATGCTTTGATAAGAGGCGCTGTGTAGCTGGAGCTCTAGCCTTGAAATCGGGAAGACCTGGGTTCAAGTCTCATGTCTTACAAATACTGAACGGGTGACCCTAAGCGAGATACCCAGGTTTAGCTTCACAGTGCCCCAAACAAAGCTGTCAGTTGAAGAATATGTGCAGCTCTATGATGGTAGAGATCGTTTCCGCATCAGGAATTCCTCATACTGATGAAGTAATAGGACCAGAGCAGGAGAAAGAAATGATAAGAAAAAAATAAACAAAAGTTTCTAGTGGCATTATGGGAAAAGAACCTTCACCTAAAGTTGGAGACGGTTTTAATAATCCCATGTGCTTGGGAGGGGAGGAGCAAACCTCCCTTAAAGGCACAAACATATTGGTTCATTGTTTTGTGGTACTTATTCTTAATGAGCTTTTACTGAGTTATTTTTCAGCACAATAGAAAAAGGTTTCTCTACTGGGTCTGCCCCAGAAGACACAACTTGGCAATATTTGGGGGTTAGTGATGGTTTTCTTCCAACTTAGCCACATAAAGAGAGCATACCGGGAGTTTTTCTTTCATCGCTAACCTACTCACTTTAAAGGAATGCTTGCTGTAAAACAGAAATGTGTTGGCATTTTGATGGCATTCCATCCCATATTGTTGGAGCTATGCTAAGCAATTAAGGCAATGGACTGTGCAGAGTTTGGGAAGTGGCTTGATGGAGTGATTAAAACTGCTTTTAATTACCCTAATACAGCCTCGTGGGACTCATGGGGAAACTCTGGTTTATGACTCCAAACTTGTTCTGCATAAAATCTTAATGAGTACATTCTCTTTAAAGCAGGGAGAAGGCTATAAGGTGAAGACAAAGAAAGAAATCCGCCCTGTAGAAAAGAAGAGCCACTCATAACGGCAGGACGGAACGGTCAGTCAATGTCTTTCTTGAAATTTACAACCCTGTGACTTCATGAATGGGATGACCCCATTGTACCAATGGCAGAGGACCCAGGGAGCTTACCACTGAACACGTGATTTAACAATAGGAAGTCATCTTCCCATTGAATTTCTTCCTTCCTTCCTGTCTCTTCCTTTCCTTCTTTTGTTTTCTTTCCTTTTTTGCATCCTTCTCTTTCTTTCTTCCCTCTCTTCTTTCTCTTTCTTTCTTTTTCTTCCTTCCTTCCCTCCTTTCTTTCCTTCCTTTTCTTTCCTTCCCTCTGTCCCTCCCTCCTTTCTTTCTCTTTCATTCTTTCTTCCTTCCCCCTCCCTTCTTTCTTTTCTTCCTTCCTTCCTCTCTTCTTTCTTTCCTTTCCTCCCCCTTTCTTTTTTTCTGTCTTTTCCTTTCTTTTCTCTTTCTTTCTCTCTCTTTTTTCCTTTTTTTGTTTCTTTCTCTTTTTTCTTTCCTTCCTTTCTTTCTCCTTCCTTTTTTCCTTCCTTCCTTTCCTTCCTTCTTTTTTTATTTTATTTTATTTTTTTTTTGGTGAGGCAATTGGGGTTTGCCCAGAGTCTAGTAAATGTTATGTGTCTGAGGCCAGGCCTGAACTCAGGTCCTCCTGACTCCAGGGCCGGTGCTTTATCCACTGCACCACCTAGCTACCCCTCCTTCTTTCTTATCCATATACAGTCTGATTACTTTCTCTTTTCTTGAAAGAGTAAACAAGGGAACTACAAAGCTCACTTAATGATATTCACCCCTTATATTTCTGATATTACCAGCTGAGCCCTGAAATGTCTTTGTCATTTGTTTCACAGTCCATAAACTCTCTCCTTATTAGACATGCATCTTAAGCACAAATGACGTGTGTCCAGACTGATGGAATCCCTACTTTTTTAATGGTCCCCTTCTCTCAGGGATCTTCGACTTGTGCAGAAATCCAGCCACCTAATAAAATTTAGCAGGCTGACTAAATATTTGCCCACCCATAATTCCCACCAAATGGTTCCTGTGATTTGTATTGATCCATCCACCCTTTGGTGTTTTCACAGATCAGTAACTAACAGCTTGGTTTCTATTGAAATAAAACTAAAGGCAAGTCTGAATGGAATTTTCATTGCAATCCCTTTGTACTGTTTTCTTTAGTTTATATAAAGTCAAACTTATTGAAAAGGATGTTTAGTGTACCAAGTTTATTGGTACAAAGAGTGCCAGGCCTTTTACCTGGGGGTGTCCAGTTCAGGGTACAGCATCAGGCTAGTTGAGAGGAATGCTCCATGTGGAATTGGGGTTTTTTGTGCTTAATGTTTAATAGTCTTTGTTTTAACAAGTCATTTTCATCTCATTTTAGTACATTATTACTGTTTTTGTTTGTAGCATGATTTTATACAATATCATTTATTAAATAATTAAGCTATTATTCATAATAAGAATAAGGATAGGAACTGGACTTTCTTTGCAACCAATTATCTTATAGTTGCCTAAAGCACCAAGAGGTTGTCAGGTGCCCAGGGTCACACCACAAGCAGATTTCAGAAGCAGAATGGGCACGCAGGCATTCCTAGCTCACACAGTTGTGCCACACTGTCCAGTCATGGTGTATCCCACCTCAGTGCTTGCCGTAGGGTCTGGCCCATAGTAAGTGCCTCATAAATGCTTGTGGCTTAATTCTTTCCCTGGCCTGCCCGAGGCTGGGCCTCATCGGGAATGTCTGTAAGTATCTCATGTTATCAAATTGCTTTGTCCTTCTGAGGGATTCCGTGAATACAGAAGTGACCCTTTCTTTTATTTTTAACCCTAACCTCGAATGCCTTATGAATAATATCACTTCTCGGTTTTGCAGAGCTGGCCCCTGAACAACTGGGCTAGATTAGAACAGGAGGGAGAAACTCAGGCTGCACCAATCTGTCTTTTCATTTCAATTTGAAATTAAAAAATAGCCACGTGGGTTCCAAAAGGGAAATGAGCAGTGCAGATAGGCTGGACGTTCAACTTGACACAATTCTGTGGCAGCTCACTTTCCATGAGGGTTTCTGAGATTCTGGCTCAGGAAGATGGTGGCAGTCTCAAAACACTGAATGGGAGCCCAAGAGGAAGGTCAATGGGCTAGTGACACTGTCAGAGCTTTGAGAGCTCAACAAGTGACCTTCTTGTGGGAATCAATTATTTTTTCCCTAAAATAATTGAAACCATGGAATGTTGCCCATTGTCACTACCATTTATCTATTGCCACTGATTTTTAAGTTTTCTCCTCTTGTTTTATATATATTGTTTCACATCTAAAGCCTGACTGCTGGAGGTTTCTGGAATGCTGATGGCTGGTTTTAAAGGATTCCACACAAGAGATTTACAGATGAGGAAACTGAGGCCCCAAGAAATTAGGTGACTCGTTTGCCATCACTGAAGCAATAAAGAAGAGAATTCAGTATTCGAATCCAAACTCTGACTCCAAATCGTGTACTCTTGACTGTATACCCAGTGTTTAGCACAGTGCCTGGCATGCAGTAGGTGCTTATTTGTTGTTTATTTATTGACTGAGTTCTGCCTGTCTAAAGCTACTGGCCTCATTCACGGGAAGGCAAATGGCCCCAAAGTAAATCGCTACTAGAAGTACCAGGATAGGAGCAAAAGACAGAAACATTGTCCACTCAATAGGCAGCTGCACCAGTCAACTGACATTTGTTAAGTGCCTACTGTGTGCCAGATATTGTGCTGAGCTCTGGAATTGCAAAGAAAGGCAAAAAATAGTGCTCGTCCTCAAAGAGTTTGCAATCTAATGGGAGAGATAACCTGTGACTAAATAAAATATCTGTGGGATAGATTGGAAATTATCAACAGAAGAAAGGCACTTATGGAAAAAATTGGGAGTTTTTATTGGGCCACATATTCAAACGAAGTAGACAAGTATAATATAGCAGCCCCCAAGGGTAACATGATTTAAGGCAACGTTGAGAGGCCAGGAAGAGGGAACTGGTACACCCAGTTGTACTCTGCCCTGGTCATATCATATCATACTTGGACCACATGTTCAATGCTGGATGCTGCTTCTAAAGAAGGACATTGATAAGCTGTAAATCAACCAAAAGTAGACAAGCAGGACCACAGAGTCACAGAATTTGAGAGTTAGAAGGGACTTCAATGGCCACGTAGTGAGTTTTTCCTCTTTTTTGGTGGGTTTACTGTAGCTGAAATTCTCATCCGGGCATGGATTGGACTAGTGGGATTTTAAGGTTCCTCCTAACCCTGGGATGTGGAATCCTAAATGGGTAGGGATGTAAGAAAAGCCAGAGGGGCAACTAGGTGGCACAGTGGGTACAGCACCAGCCCTGGAGTCAGGAGAACCCGAGTTCAAATCCAGCCTCAGACACTTGACACTTACTAATTGTGTGACCCTGATTGGCTCCAGAAAGAAAGAAAGGAAGGAAGGAAGGAAGGACAGAAAGAAAGAAAGGACAGAAAGACCAGAAAGGGGTGATAGTTTGGGAGAATAGGAAAGGAATCTAGAAACCTGAAATATCAACAGAGGAAGGACCAGATTCAGTAGGTCCAAGGGAGAGTGGGAAAGTAGGGAGATGGCAGTACAAAGGGGTGTCTCAGGCTCTTCAGCTGTTCTCAGCAATGATGAGATTCAAGGCACCACAAAGTCAGAGCAGAGGGAGGACAGAGAGGTCAGAGAATGGTGTCGATTGGATCTCAAGGTCCTTTAGGATGTGGGCAGGAGATGGGGTCAGAGAAGAAAACTGTGAGCCAAATATTGGCCACATCAAGGGAAGTGAGAGACTGGCCTAGAGAGAGGTAGGGTGAAAGGACAAGGGTGTGGAGAGGGGTTGGACCATGGAGACTTGAAAAAAGGAAACTGAATGATGATGACAGAGTGGAAAGTGGATGTGAAAGAAAAGGACTCAGTGAGTCTGGAAGGGAAGGAAGGGGGGAGAAGGCACAACCCTTAGTGCCCAGAGCTAGCAACTGGCAGCATTTTCATCTCAGGAATGTGAAGGGGAGGAGAGGAGTTTGTGGACATGTTCATGAGGATAGAAGATGGTTTGTTCTAAATAGAAGAAATTCCACAAGGAAAATAATAATAACAACCCTCTTCCTCATTAACATAATGCCTTCAAGTTTGCAAAGCATTTTTGTGGAATAAATTTTATCTGGAAAGGAGCTTAGAGATCATTTTCCCTCAAAACAACCCTGTAAGGTAGGTAATAGTGATAGGGGCTGGACTTGTGATTTTATTACTTTAGGGAACTCCCAGGTGAGGAAATTGCCTCTACCCATGCAGATTGATACCTTCTCTACAATTTAAGTCTTAGAGAGTTGCCTAAAAGCATGGAGAGATTAAATGATCTGCCCAGGATCTCACATCCAGTAGGTGTCAGAGGTGGCACTTGAACCCAGGTTTACGTGGTTTTGAGGACAACCCTCTATCCAACACACAGGGGTTGGAAGTGTGCATGTCATTCCCGTTTTACAGATGTGAAAACTGAGGCTTTCAGAGGCTAACCATGTCACACAGCTAAGTATGTAAGGTGAGAATAGAAGAGTTGAACAGGGGAAATGACAGAAGACGAGTTAAGTGGCAGATACATTGTTTTCCTATCTTTATATTTTCAGTGCCTTGCAGATGTTAGATGTTTAATATGTTTATTGAATTTGGATTTGTTTAAACAAGTGGGTTTAGAAAGGAAGCGGAAAATCAGGATGTAGGCTTGGGGCATGGATGAGTAATACAGGGGAGCTGGAGCTGAGAGGCAAGAATTTGTTAGTGGCATTTGGAGTATTAGGCAACTCCAGAGTTGCTCAGAATATTGGTGTGGGCTGGAAAGCTTTGCTCCCCTGTAATGCCCTGATAGGCCTCATTTAGTCTAGTGAGCTCCATTTTCATCAACACAACATCCATAGCTCTCACAAATGGTTTATTCTTGGGAGTTCAAATGCTGCTGCCTCCATCTTGTTCACTTTGTCAATTTTCTCAGCAAATTCTTTCGTCATCAATAATACAAAGGTCAATTTCATTGCCCCTCAGCTGGTGGGATCCATTCATGAGGCTTTCCTCTATACTAAGCCTTGGAATGAATCAACAGGTGTTTATTAAAATGCCTATTGTGTGCCAGTAATGTGCTCTGATACGAGTACAAAGGATGAAATCGCCCTGCCCACCAGAGGCTTGCCCTCTAATTGGGGAGACAGTATGTACATATATAAATACACACGGTGTAAATATCAAGAGAATAGTTAGGAAAGGCAGGGGGTGTGGACTTGCAGAGGAACTGTGGTGACTGGAAGGCAGTCTCTTTGGATAACTGTCTCCCATCTTCACATGTTTGCTCATGCATTCCTCAGCTTGAGCTGCCAAGTGCCAGAAAGAGACTTTGCCAGTCCCATGTTGCTGCTAAGCTTTAGTTCAGTTCAGTCCACCAGCGACTAGCTAATAGCTGGCCATACCGCATGGGCCAGGGCAGCTTAGATGCCCTGAATTCTGACTTGACAGGAAGCAGCATACCATGTTGGGCTTAAAAAAATGAAATGTAAAAAATAACAGATTTCAGAAGTGAAAACACCCACCCCCACCCGAAGCACAAATGGAGAAGTGTTCTTTTCCGTATTTAGAATGTTTTCCCAAGTAACAGACTGTGTGTTCAAGTGCTGCCTGTCCTCCCCCAACTACCTACAAGAAGTGGCTTGCTGTCTGACTTGGCCCTTTTTAAAATGATTTCCTTGCTTTGGAGATCTGAAAGGCATATAAAACTGATAGAGAAAACAGTCAAAACAACTGGCTCCTTTTCTAGCATTGTCTGTACAATGGGGGAAAACGATTTGAAATCTTCCTGCTAGAACTCAAGTTGGATGAATGCCGCCTCCCTCTGTGTCTTTCCATCAACTGGTTCTTGTGTTTCATAAAAGCATTTGGATGTTTTACTGCTCATCATGCCTCATGCAAACAATGAACACTTCGTTCAGCTTGGGCTTTCAAAAAAGCATATTTTTTCATGCATCATCATATCTGGTGCAAAGCCCTTTGCCCATTACACGAAGTGCCTTCTCCACACTGGGATAATGGTCCCAAATGCAAATCAGCTTACAGCAGGAGGGCCAAAACATTTTGAAGGTACTGGTAACAAGAAATGGACTTACTTAGAGGAACTAAAGTAATTGACAAATATCCTTCCTTTATCCTTTGTATCATCTAAACTATCTCCACGCTAAGTGATTTAATAATAATAATTTTAAAGTATTCAGAACATTCAGTGTTTTCCTTCTTTCAGGTGGCAGAAAGAATATTTCCCTTTTCATCTGAAAGTATATCAGGGAAAATCTTAACTTCAGTGCATTAATATAGAAGGCACAAATGGAAGAGGAAATTAATGGTATTTCTATAGACAAGAAGACAGAAGTAGAACATATTTAATAAGCTTGTTGCAGGAAGAGGCAAGAGCTTAAGAAAAAGACTCCTCCGCATGAGCTCTCTCTTGACTGGTGGGTTGGACTCTATGCCCACGGAAATCACCTTTATTCTTTGACACATCTACAGAACCATCTATGGGGGTGTGGAGTTTGAAATCAGAGTGGAAATTGCCAACTTAGTGTTGAGTGATTCCTTGACTAGTAGATGCCAGGCCAGTAATTTTCCTTCTCCACCAAGATGCCTTTCTTGAAATTTTTCTGCCAAGTGCTAATATGTTTATGATATTACTTTTATCACTTTTCTAAGAGAATGTATATGTGTTTGTGTATTGTATATATACATATATGATACATGTGTGTATGTATGTATATAAATACACAAATAATATTAGTTGTTCAAAAACATTATTAACTCCACACCATTAGGTAAAGAAAAGGCCTTATTAGATAAAATATAGAGTATTACATATTCATTCATTGGTTTTTCTTTTGACTTTGAATGAAACCTAAAACAAAGTCACGTGCGAAAGTTATCTTCTCTCACCGATTGTTTTTCTTATCTTTCCATAGGAGTATATGCTTTTACTGCCAGTATTCAAGAGAAGGAGTCATGGAAGAAGAATCAACAGGAATTGAAAATCCACTGAGGAGAATGTGTGCGTGTGTGTATGCGTGTGTGTGTGTGCGTACGTGCGTGCGTGTTTGCTGCTTCCACGCATTAACCGCATGGTTTTTATGCAAAAAAAAAAAAAAAACAGAGAGAGAGAGAGAGAGAGAGAAAAAAGAAAGAAAAAAAAAGGAAAGAAAGACACGTCCCACGCATTTTAATTTCGCATGAGCATGGAAATCCCCTCTCACTTCCAGGATCTGAGAGCGCACCATTCATGACGCAGCACACACACAAGACACGGACCACACTCTTACCAGCTTCGATTAATGTCATCTCAAAAAATCACAATTCCTGAGGCCAGACGGGACAGAAGACAAGACAATAGAAGCGACTGAAAGATACTCAGATGGCTAAATCCACAGCAGCTCGCCTTATTTCTCTCGGACCCAAACTGTCAGGGCATAAACACTGTTTGTTTCTTTTTTAAAACATCGGTAGTTTTGCTGTAAATAAATAACACTGTATAAATTCTAACAGAAAATAGAATAAATATGAATAAGGCACTGCCTCTTAGGACACAAACAAAGTATCACAAATGCATTTAACAGACTAGGTGGTCCAAGGGGCTTCACCTATGAGGGAGACTTGGGGCCGGGGATGGGAGGGAGTGGGGATCTTCACCAATTCTTGTATATTAGCAATTATAATGTTTGTATATGCAAAACTGCTAGCTTGATTTTAAAAAAATCTTTAAAATCTGCTGCAAATTTAAATGATTCCCAAAATGAGGAATTCTGTAGTTCTGTGAAAATTTTTCTGCAGAGTACTAATATTTTGATGCATGTGTATCACCTTATTTTGATTAAAATCTTTTCCAATTTTGCAAACACTACAGTATACCACGACACGGAAGAGGAGATTTTATCTGTAAACACAACGCCCTTCATCTAATATTTGTTGCTGTTGCCAATTTTTCAATGAAACAACCTAAAAAAGGAACAAAAAAAAAAAAGAGACTACCATAGTTGCTTTTGGGGGAGGGGGGGTGCTAACTGTTAACTGCTTACAAAGCGGGGTTAATGCTTGCAGCTTTAGAGATGGGTTGGTGCTCAATAGAAGCACAAGTTTTGGTATTTAAAAAAAATGAACTGAACAGAAAATATTAGCTCATAGACTGGCAGCACGCTGTAAAATTATTACCGTCTTGTGTACTGGCGCTCAGATGTAGAATCTTCCAGCAAGCCAATCATCTGTAACCATTCTAGCACTGTAATATTAGGTTCTTAAGGCTGCTGTGTTTTAAGGGGCATTTTTATTTGGGTTTTGGTGAAATACTTTAATTTGTTGATTATATTCATATCAAAACAGCATTCATTGACAAATAGCTCTAATGACATATGTATGAAAAAAAACACACTGGATGATCTAGTTAATTATTTAAGCATAAAAATAAATTGTGTTAAAACTCTTCACTGATGTGTGCTCTGAAGTCTCCTTGTGCTTGTCTGGCCGAAGGTAATTATCCCCTCCTGTTTTTGTTCATTTCCATCTCTGGTGCACCAAAACCACCACGGCAACTCGGTACAGTGGAGAGAGCCCCAGCTCCGGAGTCACAGACCTGGGTTCAGAGCCTGCCTCTGATGGTTACCCGGGTGACCTTGGGCAGATCACTTCCCTCAGTTTCCTCATCGGTAAAATGGGGTTGGACTAGATGGCATTTGAGGTCCCCCGGATAAAGTTGTGCGTGTGATGTGCCCAGCTTCACCATCTGTCACAATCTCGCTTGATGCCTCTCAAAACGAAGCCAGTCTCTGGTTTTCCGTTTGATCGTTCTAGAACGAGTTCTGTCTGCCGCTCCTCTGACGAGGGGGGCTCATTCACGTTGGGCGCGAGGATTGTCTGGTGAGGGCCACGGGGTTTGCTCTCCTAGCTGTACCGTCCAGATGTTTTCGGATGAAGGTCATCCTGCCACAATTAGCCAGAGTGCAGGAAGCTCTTTTTATGGCTCGCCAGTGAAGCTCGATAGGCAAACAGATGCCCAAGTCAAGGGGCAGAGGGTCTCAAACCAGTTATGTGCGCAGTGTGCCTATGTTCAAAGGCAAAAAGACACTTTTGTAAAATCATAGAATAGAAGAGCTGGAAGGACCCTTCTGAGACGTGTAAGCCAGCCTGCTTTAGGGATTTTTTAATAATTTACAAAAAGTATTACTATTAAACATCTGCCACCAATAAAACTTGGTTTACAACTACTCATAATAGCTTTCAGGGACTTTGTGTCTCCGTCAGATTTCTTTGTTCATTGACATTGACCTTTTCTTGTGGATGATCATGGCGTATAGTCCGTATGTCTGGTTGTACTTTGATTTACATTATTTAGTAATAAGAGTTAACGTTTATGTAGCCCTTTGTGGGTTACAAATCTGGGAGATAGGTGCTCATCCCCATTTTACAGATGAGGAAACTGAGGCTGTCAGAGGTTTAAATAACTTATCTAGGGTCACAGCTAATATTTGTCTAAGATAGGATTTGACACATCTTCCTGATTCTTCCACTGTGACCCACTGTTCCTTACAGGTGCCCATCTTAATTTCATTATTTTATTCTATTAATTTTGTATTATATAATTATATTAATATAAGTATCATTAACAATTCAATTATATTCATAATTCTATTATATCAATATAATTATATTGATGGTTCTATTATATTATCTGTTATAATTATATTCTATTATATTAATATAATAATTGTTATATTAATTTTGTCCAGATCTGTCATTTCATTAATATGAGGAATTCCTCATTATTTGGTTCTATTAATTCTTTTGTGGAGACCTGTTGTTTCATTAGTATGAGGAACTCCTGGTATGGAAAGTCCCTCCACCAATGTAGATCAACCACTATTCTACAATTAAGTTTTAGAGATTTCCTGGTGGTACTGAGAGGTTCATCCACCTTTGTCCAGCATCACAGCCAGGATGTATGAGACAAGCTTGAATTCAAGTAGTCCTGACTCCCCAGCCAGCCTCCTGTCCACTATGCCCCATTTCCATTCTATTATCCAGATTATCACTTTTTTTTTATTAGTTTTAGCCGTCCCCTGTTGGACATTTAGATTGCTTTCTTCTCCCTTTTTTTTCAGTTGTAAATAATGCCAACTCTCCCCCCCTACTCCCCCCCCCCCCCATTCATACTAGAAGGACCAGGTACATCAATTGATGAAAAAAAGTTATTTTTATAATTTTACTATAATTTATCCTATCTGTTCAAATGCACTTCAAATACCAATAATTACAAGCGAATGTTATAATTTTACTTTGAAATAAAATTTTCATCCTCTATTTTATTTGTCTTATGAATTTAAAAAAAAAAAACAACCCATCTTAGTAACAATTGATGCAACTTGGTCCTTCCGAGGCATTTTTTTTTTTTTTTGGCAATTGGGGTTAAGTGACTTGCCCAGGGTCACACAGCTAGTAAATGTGTTAAGTGTTTGGTCTGAGGCCGGATTTGAACTCAGGTCCTCCTGACTTCATGGCTGGTGCTCTATCCACTGCGCCACCTAGCTGCCCTGAGGCATTCTTAAGGTCCAGGTGAGAGAACCGAGGCCTAGAAAAGGTAAGTGACCTGCTCCGAACCTACTGAGGTAAGTGGAGACCTGGGAATCCTTTAAAGTGTTTTGTCTGCTCGTTTTCACGTTACATCTCTTTCCTGATATATGCCATTTCCTGTCCAGAAAGCTACCCTCTTATAAGAAAGAATGAGGGAAGAATTTCAGCAGAATTAGCCCTCCAACAAGCCTGACAGCATAGGCGGTTGCTGAAAGAAGGTGCTTGTTCAGTTGTGTCCAGTCCTTCGTGACCCCACAGACCACTGCACACCAATACTGTCCATAGGATTTTCTTGGCAAAGATACTGGAGTGGCATACCATTTCCACTTTTTGTTGTTGTTCCTGACAGTTATTTTTTTTAGTCATACGTTTTGCTGTCCTGGTTTGGCTTCCTTCACTTTGCATCAATCATGGAATGCCTCCTTGTATAGCCTTCATACACATTGTTTCTTACAGCCTAGTAATATTCTATTGCAATCTCCACGATTTGTTTAGCCATTCTCCAGTCAATGCTCATATACTTTGTTTCCAGTTCTTCGCCATCTCTCTCTCTCTCTCTCTCTCTCTCTCTCTCTCTCTCTCTCTCTC